ATAGTTATATGTTCTGAATAAAGGTCTAATATTAGATATACAATATGTAAATATTTTTCCAATTATGTGGGTTGTGATTTCACTTTGTTAGTATTGTTTGCAGCACAAAGTTTTTAATTTTGATGTACTTCAATTTGTTTGTTTGTTTGTCACTTGTGCTTTTGGAGTTATAAATAATCACTGCCTGATCCCGTGTCAGGAAGATTTACTACTATGTTTTCTTCTAAGAATTCTGTAATGTTAACTTCTACATTTTAGTTTATAACCCATTTCAAGTTAATTTTGCATGTGGTATAAGGCAGGGGTCCAACATCATTCTTTTCCATATGGTTTTTCAGTTGTGCCCACATAATTTGTTGAAAAACTATTCTTTCTCCATTTTACCTTGGCATTCTTATCAAAAATTAATTTACTATAAATGTGAGGGTTTATTTCTGTACTCTCAATACTATTCCATTTACTTATGTATCTAACTTTGTGTTTGCATCACAGTCTTGATTACTGTGGTTTTGTAGTAAGTTTTGAACTCGAGAAGTGTGAATCTCCCAACTTTGTTCTTTTTAGAGATTATTTTTAACTATTCTGGGTTCCTTGCAATTACATATGAATTTCAAGTTTGACTTTTCAAATTATGCAAATAAGCCAGCTAGGATTCTCATAAGGATTGCATTGAATCTGTAGATGAATTTTGGGAGTACTGTCATTTAAACAATGTTGTCTTTTCATCCATAAACATGGTGTCTTTATACTTATTTAGATTTTTAAAATTTTCTTTCAACCATGTTTTGTAGTTTTCAGTGTACTTGCACTTCTTTTGTTCAATGTGTTCCTGAGTATTTTATTAAGTTGATACCACTGTAAAGGGAAAAGTTTTCTTAATTTTTTAGATTGTTCATTGCTAATGTATAGAAATACATGGGCTTTTATATATCAACATTATATCATGTAACCTTGCTGAACTCATTTAGGCAGGCAGTATGAGAAAAGCAAGATTATATCTAGGGCCGAAACCGGTTTGGCTCAGTGGTAGAGCGTCGGTCTGCAGACTGAAGAGTCCCGGGTTCGATTCCGGTCAAGGGCATGTACATTGATTGCGGGCGCATCCCCGGCACGGGGTGTGCAGGAGGCAGGCGGTTGATGTTTCTCTCTCATTGACGTTTCTAGCTCCCTATCTCTCTCCGTTCCTCCTCTCTGTAAAATATCAATAAAATATATTTTTTAAAAAAAGAATATGTCTAGGATTCAGAAGGGATTATTGAGTAAATCAGGACTAGAATAATGTACAGTTACCATGTATTGAGCATGTTTACGATAGGTTACTGCTTCTCAACCTTTAATATGCATATCAATATCCCGGGAATCTAATTAAAATGCAGACTTTTGTCTGTGGGTTTGGGTGGAGTCTGGGATTATGTCTAACAACTTCTCAGTAGGTAGCTGGTAGCTTTCACTTACTATTTTAAGCCACACCAACCCTGTAAAATATATATTATTGTTTCCATCCATAATAATGAAAGTGTAATATTCTAATTAGATTAGCTATCCTTCTAGGCAACCTTCCAGATGAAGCCAGGGCTGCATTGGAAGTCTGGGTCCTGCGTGCCCTAGGGAAACCAGTACCAGCAGCCTGAGGAAGGAAGGCCTACTCATGCACGAATTTCATGCATTGAGCCTCTAGTTTATAGATAAAAAGGAAATCAGAAGTTGAGCAAATAACCAAGTTCATAGACTAAGAGGCAGAACCAGAATTCATTCTAATGCCAAAGCTTGGCTCTTTCCACTCCCCCACACTGGATATCTGAAATAGGATATCAGCTGGAATATGAACAATAAATGGATCAGGGGAAAAAAATAAGTTTTTCAGGGTTAGCAGAGTTGCCTAGAGTGCATTTGGGTCTAAAGCTTGAGGTTATCTTGATTATGTTGCTAAGAGTGATGGTGTGAGACCAGAATATCAGGTAGAAGGAAGATTATACTAGTAGACAGAACTCAAGATTAAAGGTGGTATAGAAAGTTATTCACTTCTGATCAGAACAGACTTCAGAACTGGACTCTTTATACTGCTGAGATTTACATTTGTGGTTAAAACTATTGTTGACTCTTCCTGAATTCTAAATTATTTTCCTGGAGATAATGAATGGTATAGTACCAATGCAATCCCTGAGTGGCCAGGTTAAGGATTTAAGAATGTGGGTAAGGCTCTGGTCAAATGGTTACCTGTGAAGAACTATGGATGGAAGAACAAATTCCCTTCCAATAGTTTTCAGTAGGATATTAGATTTCCATCGCCTCAGTAAAAACACATGAGATAATTATTTTTGTCCTTAGCACCTTTTATTGAAGTATAACCCTTGATAACAATCTGACAGGCATATCAATGTCAGCCAAGAAGGGAGTGGTGGAGGACACAAATGCAGAAACAATTAAGACTCAGAAAAATAATAGCTTCACATGGGATAGATGACCCCCAACAATTGTACAACAAACACTGATTCTTTATCTATAGAAATTGTCCCCTGCCCCACCCCCCTCTAAAGATCTACTAATCTTCAAAGAATATAATATGCTGTTACAGAAATATCATTGGCATACATAACTCCTTTGGCAAACACAGAGGGAGTCACCAAGCTGCAGACAGGAGGAAGTGGCCAGAGATGTGCCCAGCTTCCTCCATCTGAAACTTGCTATGGGCAGAGCAGCACCTTTAGGGAGGCTGGCGTTGTGGCTCCAGTGCCCCTGGACAATTTTTTGGCACATGAGGTTAAATGGAAAATACAACCTGAACCTGGTCTTCAAAGAGGCTTTTCATCTTTTCACCTTCTGTGTACCTTTGCTTCCAGTTTTTCCCTTGCAAGGACATTCTTTTCAGTGTCTCTGTCTCTTTCTGTTGGATTCCCATTGAGCATTTACTGCTATACCCTGGCCGAGATTGTAGCTAGTAGAATTCAAGGAGACTTGATTACCCAAGGCTCTGGGAGTGGGGAGTTAGAAGGGACATATTATAGTAGCTCTTGCACTGATTCCTCTCTCTATATCAACCACTGCACTTACCTATTACACACTGGGGCCTGTATGAGTATTTAAAGGGAGAGGGCAGACTTCAAGACCAATAACACTTTGTGAAAATCCCTTGGCCTGCCTTCCAAACTTCTTCCTTCTGGCAGGCCTTTGTGAAGGGCAGAGCCCAAGACAGAGGAGAGACTCGGCATTTGAAGTAATAGGGACAGCTTTATAGCACTATCACTCACAGTGGGACTGCCAAGTTAGCAGTGCTGGGCATTAATTATATTGAGCAATATAATTTGGGGTTTATTTTATTAAGATCTTTGGAAAGCGTCCCTCTGTGTACAAGTGAGCATCCTTTTGCTCTGATTCCAACTCTAAAATAATTTGAGGTGGCATGAGGGGCAAAAATATGAGTCAATAGTACTTTTAGTGATAAACAAAGTACAACCAATCTATCGCTGACTAGAAAAACTAAGACTGTGGCCATAGTGTCCAGGTGAGTGATTACTCTTTTCTATGGGCCTATATTTCTAAAAATCTGTTCTAGATGTGCACATACAAGCACACACATGCACACACACACACACACACACACACACACACACACAAGCATACAATCTTATAATGATGGACTACATTGGCCTCATCTCAATCTTGCTCATTGTTTATTTTAGAGCCTGTGTTTTTAAAAACATGGCAGCCACAGCCTATATTAAAAGCATTCCTCTACCTTCCTCAACCTTGGTTTGGGTAAACTTAGCCCTTTACAAGCCATCAGCCTTCCTGAATAAAGTAGAATTCTCCTCTTGTGGGGAGAATGGCAGGATGACATTTTAACAGTAGTTCTGACAGCAGCAGTATACTAAGAGCATACTCAGCCCCCTCCCTGCACCTTCCCCCTTCCCAGGACACCCTGCTGGCCAAGATTCTTCTATTGTTTTCAAATACAATGAGGAGGAAAGGGAAGTTAGGAACCAGTATTTGTAGCAGCAGCAAAATTCCTTTGTAAATTCTTTTGGTCAATTGAGGCACTTGACTGCTGCTACAGTTAACCTCCAAAGACAGTGAGAAACTCAGCAATGACTAGAACAGATGTCAGGGGTGCTGGGCAGGGCTGGGCAACACCAGGCATGAGCCCGTTAGCAAGGAATAGGGAACTAAGCTGTATAACAGGACAATTTGGCCACAACTACCTTCCTGCCTTCACCTGAAGGCTTTCCCAGGACAGAAACTGGCTACCAGCACCAGGAACTAGGCAGAAGCAGCAGCATCAGTTGTTTGTCTGCCTCAGATCCTGGCTGGTTCATAATTTGTGCTGGGGGCTGGCCCTGACTAGAGCTTTCTGCTACCATGAATTCTGGTTCCCTGAGCCAGACCACAGGCTGAGAAAGCAATTAGGTGGAGGAGTACCTCCTGAGCTTATCTCTCCCCTTTTCCTTAGCTTAAAGACTTGGGGAAATAGGTGGACCTTGGTCAGTTTCAGATTTCTTTGGTTTCAAGAAAAAAATTGGACCCTGTTGGAAAATGCTAAACTCATGGTTATCCATACTTCAATGGAAGTATAGGACTAGGCCACACTGGAGAAGCTCTGAGTTCAAGGCGAGAACTTTCTTAAATACTTGTCAGCTATGGTGGGAATAATTCAAAGCCTTGACACCAGTTACCTAGCCATGGTGAATTCAGGCTGATCTACAGAAAATGTTTTCCTTCTGGGCTAACTTTTCCCTTTTAACTCCCCTTTTCTCACCTTATTAGTTAAAAAAGAAGAAAAAAAACAATAAAAATAAATAAAGTCAAAAGGACATTTAAAATATAACAATAAGAACCCCTTCCCCCCAGTAATGAAACATGTATGCAGAAGTCAGCTTCAGCAGAGCTATTCATGGCCCATAGTGTGAAGCCCTTAGGGTAGCCACCTGTAACTCCAGCAATACAAAGGCAAGATGAAACAGGAAGTGGTAGGTCCAAAGTCTTAGGACAGGAAAAGGGCCACACTAGCCAGGGCTGATAGTGGGCCTCTTCTCCTTTAAGAAGATGCTGGGAAAGGTGGGAATGGGACCAATTTCATTAAGCCTAAGCATCTGGGAATTCATTAAGCAGAGCATTTGGGAATCCCAAATCCTTTGCTCACATTCTGTTAAGTAAAATTCCTCCTCCTTTGCTTCCCACTGCAAAGCTTGAGTGGAGCCCTGAAATTCCAGTAGGTAATTGCCCTCAAGACAGTCAAATTTCTGTGGGAAATGACTGGGCCTTGAGCCTTGGCTGATTATGATGTGGGTGGGCGGTGAGTGCATGATGTCTCTGATATCCTACTACAAAGAAGAATGAAGGCACTTCGTTGGTTCTGTGTATGCTAAGTGCTTGCTGTGCAAACTGTGGGAAAGAGTGTGGTTGTATGATCACACTCTGCTACAGTTTCTACTTCTTGCTTCTACTTCCTAGGGTAGAAGTTTGGGGTCTCCCCAGAGTGTCCTAGCTGGTTGGGCACAAAGCTTGGTAAGGGGCAGTGAGAGCTATCCAGGGTAGAGGATATGGAACAAACTGCTAACTATCTGCTATGTATTTGCTAACGAACTGCTAACAAAAATTGAAAGCACTTCCCATTGTGTCTGGGCAGTGATGATGTGGGCAGTTTGCAAGTGGAATTAGAAATTGCTAGGCCCCAGGAGTAGGCTCTCCCTGAGACATTTGAGCTGTTCTTCCCCAAGCTTGATCTTCTCTTCTAGCTCTCGCTGTTCAATGATGAGAGCAGATTTCATCTTCACAAAGTGCTGGTAATCTTGGAGCTGGTCCTGCGGCAGGTAGCGGGAGACCATGCCAAACACCAGCTTCTCCCTCCGGTCCATGTGCTCCTTCAGCTCCTTGGCATCTGCCAACTGCCCTGTCAGCTGCTGCTTCTTCTCCATCAGCACCAACTGGGGAAATAGAAAACCAATTAAGAGTCATTTCAATTACCAGTCATCAGCCTAACCCATTGCTCCACCGGGCATGCTGCCACAAAGCAACTACGCATTCTGTTAACTGATCGATCATAGATTTCCTGCCCTGATGTCCACCTTCATGCAAAAGCTTTTCCTTCCTGTCGCAGGGGGAGAATATACACCAAAGTGATTCTGGCCAGGGGGATATGCACTTCCCTTTTTCCATCTCTAGACTATCTTTAATTAGTGGACTATCACTGAGGTAGGTGTCAGGGAAGGCTGTGACAAAGCTAGCTCAGGCCCCTTTCTATCTGGTGAACAACCACCACTGAAAGAATGCTTTTAAAATGGTATCTGTCTCTGCGTGGGTATATATGTATAGCCATGTGTGTAGATACATGCCTATGTGTTTCTTATTGTAAAATCAAATTTTTATTTAACACCACTTGCATAGGGAAAGTCATTGCAGTTTGGGTTCATGAATGTATGCAAATTAACCCAACTTGTGGAACTGACAGCCTCCCAATCTCAAATACTTGGTGAGACCTTTCCCTCTGAGAGAGAGAGAGAGAGAGAGAGAGAGAGAGAGAGAGAGAGAGAGATGAGAGAGAGAGAGAGAGAGAGAGAGAGAGAGAGAGAGAGAGAGAGAGAGAGATTGCTGCTGCTACTATTACTACTGACAGTATTGATTCAGTGTTTGCCCTGTTCCAGGCCCTGTTTTAAGACATTAACATGAATTATATAATTTAATTTTCAAACCTTATATAGTAGGGGAGTGTGTTCATCCCATTTTCAAGAGATTGAGACAAAGTGAGGTTAAGTAAGTTGCCTACAAGTCACACAGCTAATTAGGGGTAGAGCCAGAATTTCAAGGCACTTAAAAGTCAGCGCTCACACTCATAACAATATGCTCTACTCCCTCCCAGACTACCCAAACTTGAAAGAGGAAGCCCCAAGAAGACACATATGGCATTTCCCTCCATCCACACCCAAGAGACTCCAACTCTACCTTCTCCTGGTCAGCTTCTGAATCAATGCTGTTGAGAGCATTTTCTACCCGGGCCAGCCTTCCAGAGAGTGACAGCAACAGGTTGACCACTTTATCCAGGTCCCCAATAAACAAACAGTATTTTTCAAACTCATTGGACTTGCAGACAGCTTTTAGGTTGGCCTCCACCTCTTCCCCAAGGGCAGAATTGGCATTGATGTCCTCCAGCAATCCTCGCTGGGCCTCCCGTAAGACAGAAAGTTTTCTGCCAATGCTTTCAATAAGCTGTATCTAGGAGAAACAAAGAGAAGAAAGCAAAAGATGGGGACAGGAACTGTCAGAAACTGATATGTTCTTGTAACCTATGTTTTTGGATCCAAATAACAGATGGTGAGCTCTACCCTAGTCACTGCAAGCAAAAGAAACCTGAGCAAATCACATGAGCATTTCCTGTTTTCAGGACAGTTTTATCTCCCATCTCTTAGAATCTGGGAGGAATCTCTGTCACTATGAAATGTCTTGGCATTAGACAAGTGATACCCATGGGCTAATACCAAATGTAGTTTCATAAATACTTGCTGAAAAAATGAAACTAGACTACTTTCTTATATCATACACAAGAATAAATTCAAATTAGATTAAAGACAAAATTTAAGACTCAAAACCATAAAAATATTAGAGAAAACATCGCAGTAAAATCTCACACATTTCTTATAGCAATATTTTTTCTGGTATATCGCTCTGGGCAATGGATAAAAAGAAAAAATAAACAAATGAGACTACATCAAACTAAAAATGTTTTGCACAGCAAAGGATACCATCAAAAAATAAAGAAAACCCACTGAATGAAAGAATATATTTGTCAATATAGCTGATAAGAGGTTAATATCCAAAATTTATAAAGAACTCAGACAACTCAACACCAAAAAAAAACAACAACACACAAACAAACAAACAACAGTCCAGCCCAGCGGTTGAGCAGCAAGTGACCTATGAAACAGGTCATGGTTTGATTCTCGATCAGGTTACATGCCCGGGTTGCAGGCTCCATCCCCAATATGGTGCAGCCATTCAATAATTCTTTATCATCATTGATCAGATCTCTCTCTCTCCTTCTCCCTTCCTCTCTGAAATAAAAAACTAGAGGCCCAGTACATGAATTCATGCATGGGCAGGGTTCCTCAGCCTGGCCTGCAATTGTGGCTGATCGGAGCCAGCCAGCTGTGGGGAGGGACTGTGGGAGGTTGGCTGTGGGAGTGCACTGACTACCAGGGGACAGCTCCCATGTTAAGGGTCTACCCCCTGGTGGTCAGTCCATGTTATAGCAACTGATCTACTGCCTGCCCCCTGGTGGTCAGTGCGTGTCATAGCAAGCAGTTGAGTGGCCTTAGCATATTATTAGCATATTATGCTTTGATTGGTTGAATGGCCGACCAGTCGACAGGACACTTAGCATATTAGGCTTTTATTATATAACTAGAGGCCCAGTACATGAAACTCATGCACTTGGGGGAGGGGGTGCCTCAGCCTATCCTGCACCTTCTGGCTGTCCAGGAGCTCTCAGGGGATGTCCTGGAGGCAGGAGGGGCTCCTGCCACTGTCACTGCCCTCGCCAGCTGTGAGAATGGCTTCTGGCTGAGTGGTGCTCCCCTTGTGGGAGCTCACTGACCACCAGGGGGCAACTCCTGCATTGAGCGTCTGCCCCCTGGTGGTCAGTGCACCCAGAGCAACCCATTGTTCCACCATTTGGTCAATTTGCATATTAGCCTTTTATTATATAGGATTGGCTGGGAATTACTAATATTGCTATCTGAGTTTGAACTCCAATTCTGCCACTAAGTAGTAGAGTGACCTTGAGCAAATAAGCACTCTGGGCTTCAATTTTACCATCTGAAAATAGAGTAACAATACTACTTATCTCAAATGCTGTTATGATAATTAAATGAGTTAGCATATGTTATGTGCTTAGAACAGTATCTTGTATATAAGAAATATGCTTTGATGTTTGTTTTAGATATCCAAGGTGACCAAGACCAAGAGACCCTGCTCTGGGTTCAGAATCTGTTGTCATATTTCAGAACTGGCCAGTATTCAGGAGATCACTGTGATCTTAGTCTGAAGTATAATAGGTTTAATTTAGGAAAAAATCCAAAACCCACTGGCAATGAGGGCTCAATGATATGAATGAGGCAACACAATTAGATGCCAAGAGGCTCCCAGATATTTCTTATCTTCTTTTCTACAAAATAAAACTCAATGCCAGAGATAAAGTAGGGCTGGGGGCCAAATGATCAACCTGGAAAATCAACTACCCAACTCAGTTCTTAGGTTCCATAGGTCTGCCAGGATAACAGTGGAGACAACCCTTTCATTCTTGGCATTTGGGCTTTGCAACCTGAACTGGGAAAGTGCAGTAGATAGAATTATAGAGTCATCACAGAGCTAGCTAGAACTGAGCTGCTTTTCTGGGATATCACAAATTAGTATCATTTCTCACCATCTTCCCCAGAGACAAAAACTGTTCCAGCCCACCAACAAATCACTATCTGCTATGTCTATGCGTCACCATTTCTGATCATTTCTCTCTTCTTCTGGTTAGACTATTATTAGGTTTTCTCCTAATGAGAAGTCCTAAGTAAGGCAGGAGAAGCCTGCCATGATCAGTGAACATGGAATACAAGGAAAGAGGCATCTAGATCATGAAATCTTTGATACCATCATGCTTTTAATTCCTTCTCTGACATTTTGTTTCAGATTGGAAAGTGGTGGTGGGGACTTTTGTAAATAACCTTGAGCTTTCCTACAGGTCATATCCTGAACGAGAAACATAGGCCGATGACTAATTTACATTGAGTTCAGATGTCCACGAAGTGGTAAATTGGGCCTTTCGGGTTGTCATGGAAACCCAGTTGTTTATGAAATAAAATGGGTAAGTGCAGAGAGGGCAAAGTGATTCCAGGAATTTCATTAGACAACCAGGCTAGTGGTACTTAGAGGAAGAAAGGGGAGGCTTTGCAATAGCAACAACATTTCCATTTATCTGTTTAATATTTTAAGAGATTACTGATTACTTTTGAAAATAAACACTATAGTTTACCAGCTTATAATTTCTCCTTCTCATAGTTAGTCTGTTCTCTGTCCCAGAATGTTACACAGATAATACAATCAATGATTACCACCGGTTAAAGTTCACTGGCCAAAACTCTGATGTGCCCTGGGCATTGTGTTACTTAACAAGGCTGGCTTGACTTGTTCGGTGTTGCTCAGTGGTAGTATCAGCCCACACACCGAAGGGTCATGGGTTCGATTCCAGGTCAAGGGCATGTACCTGGGTTACAGGTTCCTTCCCTGGCCCTGGTCAGGGTGTGTATGAAAGGCAACTAAT